AACCTGCCTCCCCCACTCCCTCCTTCCCCTCCTCCCCCGCGCCCAAAACACGCCCGCAGATCAAGCCACAACTTCCCTCAACTTCAACTCCCAGGGGTGCAAAGCTTCCCCCCTCCCCCCACTCCTAACCCTACCCTCCCTTTCCTCCTCCCTCCCCCCCCTCCCCTTCCACCCTCCCCTCCCCTTCCTCCTCCCGATCCTCCCCTTCCTCCTTTCCTCCCCTCCCCTCCCCTTCCTCCTCCCGATCCTCCCCTTCCTCCTTTCCCCTCCCCTCCCCTTCTTCCTCCCGATCCTCCCCTCCCCTCCCCCCCCTCCCCCAATTGTCTTCTCCTCCCACCCCATCCCCTCATCATCGCCCCCCCCCCTCCCCACTGTCCCCTAACACCTCGGGGTTTTGCTAACGTTGGCGATACTGTTTTTTTTTTCTTTCTTTTTCTTTTCTTTTCTTCTTTTTTTTCCTTTCCTTTTCTTTTCTTCTATCTTTTTTCCCTTTCTTTTCTTCTTCTCTTTTTTTTTTCTTTTTTAATAGGTGAAGCGCGAATGTTATTTGGAAAGACCTTTTACTTGCGAAAGAGGGAAAGGAGGAGGGAAGGGAAGGGGAGGGGAGGGTGGAGGGGAGAGGGACGGAGGAGGGGAGGGTGGAGGGGTGAGGCAAAGGTGGAAAAGAGAGGGAAATGGGGAAAAAGGGTGGAGGGAAGAGGGATGGGGGAGGGGAGATTGGAGGGGAGAGGGAAGGGAAAGGGAGGGTGGAGTTGAGAGGGAAGGAAAGGGAAAAGGTAGAGAGGAGAGGGACGGAGGAGGGGAGAGTGGAGGGAAGAGGGACGGAGAGGGGAGAGAGACGGGGGAGGGGAGGGTGGAGGGAGGAGAGAAGGGAGGGGATAGGTGAAAGGGAGAGATAAGGATGGAAAAGAGAGGGAAGGGGAGGAGAGGGCGGAAGAGAGAGGGAAGAAAAGGAAAAACGGGAGATGCAAAGTAGAGGGAATTGTTGGGGAAAGAGACGGAAAGAGGGGAGAGGGAATAGAAAATAAAGGTGGAGGAGGACGGAAGACTGAGAAGAAAGGGAGACGGATCGAGGAGATAGGAGAATGAGAAGACAGAAAAAAAAAGACCAGAGGAAAATAGTACTCAAATCGAAGGAAAGGGAAATGGAAGGGGACAGACGAAGGAAAAGAGAAAGAAGAACAGGAGTAAGGGGAGATGACATGACACCGCCAGATCCAAGAGAATCACGGGGGGGGGGGGGGGGGTGAGTACAGGGATATGAATCAAGAAAAGGAGGAGGAGAAAGAGAGGGACGTGAACATTACAAAGATTTGAACACACACACAAAAGGGGAGAGAGAGAGAGAGAGAGAGAGAGAGAGAGAGAGAGAGAGAGAGAGTGAGGAAGAGAGAGCGAGAGGAAGAGAGAGAGAGAGAGAGGAAGAGAGAGAGAGAGAGGAAGAGAGAGAGAGAGAGGAAGAGAGAGAGAGAGAGGAAGAGAGAGAGAGAGAGGGGAAGAGAGAGAGAGAGAGAGGAAGAGATAGATAGATAGATAGATAGAGAGAGAGAGAGAAACTTACTGAAACAAACAAACAAATAAATAAACAATAAAAAAGAAACGAAACAAAGAAAAAGAAAGAGAATAACAGAAGCAGACAAGAGAAAGCCAAAGAAAGCGAGTTCCTTCCCCCGACGAGAAAGCTGCGGGAGAGAGACGTCAGCTGTTTTGCATATAGAAAGGACACACATTTCTGTAAGAAGTATGCAAATACAACTTCAAACAGCCCGTGGAAGTGTAATCACCGGACTGTAGTGCTTGTCGAAAGGAACGGGAAGCGAAAAGGAATATCAAAAGCATAAAATTATATAAAAAGGAAAAGAAAGAAAGTTGGGGGAAAAAAAAACTAACGCGTCTGTTCCATAAAGGTCACATTCGATTGGTCGATTTTGGGTTTTCTTTTCTGTCCTTCATCTCACCTCTTATTTTCTATCTTTATTTTCTTTCTTTCTTCCCTAAATTTTCCGTCTTTCAAATTCCTTAATTTCCATTTAGTCTCCTTGCTTCCTTCCCGTTTTCTTTCTTTAGCGTATTCCTAATACCTCGTTTTCTTTCCAGCCTTCTTTTCCCCGTTTTCTCTTCTCTAATATATCCCCCGTCTTCCCATTTTCTTTAATTCATACTCCCTGATTTCCGTTTTCTTCTCTCACCCCATTTCCCCGTTTTCTCTTCCTAATTTTAATATTTCCCTTCTTTATCCACCTAATCTCCTGTCTCTCATTATTTCCGCCTTTACCTTTCCCTGCAATTACTCAATTAATCGCATTACCTAATTACTGCCTGTCCACTTAGCACCTATTAACAGCCATTTACAGCATTCCACTCGACCCCTGTTAAGCGAGTGAGTGAAATGAGTGAAGTGAGTGAAGCGGGCGAAGTGAGTGGCGAGAGTTGAGTGATGTGGGTGAAGTGAGTGAAGTGACTAGCGTGAGTGACTTGAGTGAAGTGAATGACGTGAGCG